TTAGCAAGCCTTTTTATTTACTAAAAGACACGATGTTACAAACTAAATGCATCACTATTGTGGAGTGTGAGCAACTGCAGACTGAATATTAGGATTTTATGATTAAAATGTTTAAAACTGGGGGTTTCCACTGGTAGGGGACTATCATAGTGGGAATAAAATCTTATTTTATGGTTCTGGTGGCAGGTCATAGTTAAGTCACCTTTCCATTACTCAAACTACAGCTTTAGAATAAATAATATGGATTACAGGGTAGACAGATGTTGGCAGGCTTTAATTTCAGTTAGTTTAAAAAAATCTCTTTTTGCTGCGTCATAAATTTACTTCAAAACAAAGCAACAGACCTGACAGGATTCAGTAGTTAATCATCCTTTTGATTGCATCAAAGCACTTCCACTTGTCTGGGATGTAGAAAGGCTCAAAGATGTGAGGGAAGGGGGTGTCGTAACCACAGACCCTACTTATGGGAGCCTCCAGGTTAAGGAAACACTCCTCCTACAGGGGAAAAAATACACAATGTCAAGATACATGTTATCATTACAGGTAAAATGCTTTCAGTGCTTCAACATTGTTTCATCAAACAGCCAATAAAAGAGACTGAACCACAAGGGCTGCGTGTTGGCAAGAATTTTGTTATACAATACATACATGACGCAATGGTTGCGATACAATATATCACAATTTACTGCAATATTTAGCCATTTTTTGGTCCAAAATTTTTATTAAAAAAAACTATGTTTTGTATGTATTTTACTTGTTTCATATTTCATCCATGTTTTCAATTGTTAGGCCAAATGTGTCATTAAATAGTTAAATATATTTGTGATAGCTTTTAGATTTTAATTTATTATAAAAATATGGTCAACCAACACATTAACAATTACCAATAACTTGTCCTAAAGTTCAGCAAACAGACGACATTAAAGTCCATAACGTTTTCATATTATATATCCAGCAAAATATGTTGAGTAATAAAAAAAATCCCAGGTATGTTTCTTTGAAATYCTTTAAAATAACACCAGATTGTTTTAAGAATGACTTTTGACAGAAATCAATCTCGCTGACAGCATGCATGTCAGGTTGTACTCATTGTCCATACATTACACAGATTTCCCATTTTGCAGACGAATGTAGCTATAAATCTCCCATATTTTTTATTTTTTTAAACTCAGCTTCAAATTGTTTTTACATGTCAGAGCCTGTAGGATGTGAATAAATAAAAATTAAATACAATTAAATAACCAGCTCAATCAGATTTTTGAGGATCARGATGCAGGTAAATGTTTTGAAGGGATTAACATGTGACAGATCATCTAGTTTACTGTTAGCTTTGTTATCTTTTGTAAATATCATTGAGCCCCAACTAGGTCTGCTACGTCCACAAATTAGCTCAACTTCAACAAGCAGGCTAGAAGCCACGGCAAAAAACAAAATAGAACTTAGAAAAAGAATGAAAGTCATTCTGTTTAATACACCGCTCCCTCACGTTGGTGCAAAGGGTTAATATAGAGGTCCTCTGACTCAGGGGTTCCTGGGGGGGAACTCTGACTGATTACAAGACTGAAGACATCTGTGATGCTAATTAGTGGACACACCTTGATTTAACATTTCCCTGTGGTCACATTATTTTTAGGGGTACCATTTCTGTCCAGGCCTGTTTCATGAGTTTTATTCATTTCTTTTTTATTCTGTTGAAGCATGGTGTCTGACTTTCATTTGTTCATTTTCATAGAAATTGTATTTTATATTTCTTTTGTTAAATTCTAGTTATTTCTGTGACCATAATGGTTTTTTTTTTTCATTAAACGAAGGTTACCAACAATTTTGATCACGTGTGTATCTTCCAGCTCTGTGAGGACTGAAGAAGTTTTATATAATTTAAACTGGGAGTGTGATCATTTTAACACATGTAGCACAACCATTGATTAGACTTGATAGTTTGGGCAGAGATTTTCCCTTCATCACTGTTCATCTTGGATTTGGGAAGAATGACCCTCTCCAGCTCCCAACTGCACCTAGTTGCTCATCTTTGTGAAGTGTTGCTCTGTTTTATGTAGAATATTTTAACCATCATTTCATGTGACTGGATGAAGGGATGAAGTGACCGTCAGAACTTAGGGTTAGCCATAACGCTATGACATGAAACCTCATCTTTGATACGACATGCAGAGCTTTTCTCTGTTCGGATGAAGGACCCAGTACCTTAGGACTGGCACTCTGCTCCACCCAGTTAATTAAATGTGATTAGCTTTAATCAAAGTTATACGACTGGTTCAAGAAAGCCTCCTTTGCTCTGCTTTGGTTGCTCCTCCTATGTGGATCCACAAGTACTGGAGACAGGTTCACTGAAACAGGCTGCGACACATCCTGACAACAACTGGATTATGATGATATAAAAGACTAATCTTGGCGGCTTTATTTTTGCTTTAAGTTTGCTAAAGCACATCATATCTTGTGCTGACAAATGTCCATAGCCTTAGGGTCAATGAATGGTATTTAAACTCTCAGAAGGGAATTTGAGTCGATGGGGAGAAAAAAACCAATACTAATAAAAATGTGAAGGTATTGTTCTTCCTTMGCTGCAGAACTCATGCCTGATTTTTTTTGTGCTCACAAACCTCTCTAATGCCAACACAATGACAGACTCGTTTAGATAAAAAAGTCAGAAGTCAAGAGTAATGATGTGACTGACACGTCCTAAGTTCATGCCTAATATCAAACTCTCCAGTCTTTGCCAGCATCGAGCTGGAATGAACATGAACAGATTAGGTTTGATGCTAATTTTACTGTAAGAGGATTTTATCATGTTGGGTCAAGTTTGACACAAAGGTCTTTTTTTCATGACTTGATGGCGTGAAGGTTTGAAAGGAAAAGTTTTCCTTCGTTACAGTCCTAAATAGCCAATATAAATGATTTGTCTGGCTATGGATATAAAAAAATGCTGTATTTATTGTTTTTTAAATCCATCTTGTGTCAGTGGAGCTGGTACTGTGACATCTCCTTACTGAATCTGAATGCCACAACCTATTCTCTGCATGCAGACTGACAGTCAGACAGCACCATGGAGTTTGCACTTTAGTCTGAATGAGATCTGTAATCTCCTCTAAATAAATTTACTGGAAGTGGGAGGAAAGTACAGTAGTCTGACTGTCTGCCACCAAAACTGGACAAGGAATGGCCACACAACTCAGATTTCATTTAAATCTTTGTTTAGCTTTTGGGAAGTGCATCATTATGTGTAATATACTTAAATGTCAGAATAAAAATATGTTAACATGGGAGTCGTATTGGGATCGTGTCCAGCAGTGGTGCAGGGTTTAAAAATACTTTCCAATGGAGCCTTAAAATCTCTGGGATGATATTGTGTCTCTTGTTGCCCTCACACATAAAAAAGGCCTGAGATTGTCAGAAACAACCAGAGTTTGGAGCGTGCAGTTAGACAGGATGGGAAGAAAGCTGATTTCACATTTTATATTCATGCTTCTGGATTTCAGCTGAGAACAGGCAGAAACAGGTTTTAAACTCAAAACACATCTGTTAAGGTGTCTTAATCATGTTTGGCTTTAAGAAAGCAAATTACCTAAAGACTGAGTGACAATCTGCTAATATTTCTTCTAAACTAGTTTTAAAACATCTGTGATTAAAGCTTTGGCTTCTATTCTGAACGCTACAATGAATATTTCAATAAGACCTTTAACACTTCTGCATCTAGCTGCTCCCTTTAAGGCTGACCACTGGTCTGTCCCTCCTAAAAAACAGGGATGTGTGTGTGTGTGTCTGTCTGTCTGTGTGTGTGTGTGT